TACAGAGCGAGTGTGCACGTCCTCCCCTGTCACCAGAGCAGGTCTTACATGGCAGCTGGGGGACACTTAAAGAAACTGCTGTACATAACTAACCTCCCCCCTTCTCCCTCTCTCCCTCCACTCCACAACCCACCACCACCACCACCACCCCCCCACTCCCCTCATCATCTTGGTGGTGGTGTGCGCAAAAACCTCCAGCGCCGGACGGACGGACGCAGCTTTGACGGCACCGAAACGCGCGGCTCTGCAGGAGGGGAAACATCCAGGAGAGAGAGGAAAAAGCCACCGGAGGAGCAGACATGGATATTTAACGGACACATACAAATATTTCTTTCCACCTCTTTGTGTTTTTTTTATTCTTCCTCCGACCCCGTGATGTTGCTTTTGCCCCGGGCGTGTTAATGAAACCTGCTCCTCGATGTCTCTCATCAGTTTATAACCGAAACAAAATGAGGATTTCTTCTGGCGACTGGTTTGTGTTGATGTTCTCGGGCTTGTGGGGGCTGACGATGGGAGCTTTCCCGAGCAGCGTTCAGATCGGTGAGTGTGAGCCGTCAATGGATCATGTGAGCGGGGCTGTGGACGTCCTGTGTCCCCGGCACTGTACTCAAAGTGGACACTGCTAATTTCTGTTTGTCTTTCTCCTGCTGAAAATCACATTCACGCAGGATGTGCGTATCTGACACACACATGCACACAGGCATGCATGTACACACACGTGCCTTATGCGCTTTGTATCTGCAGGCTGGAGAGTGTATCCCAGTGCAATCCGCCACTGCAGCAGATCAGAGCAATGGTGTGTGTGTGTGTGTGTGTGTGTGTGTGTGTGTGTGTGTGTGTGTATTCCCTGTGCAGGCTGCCTTTGCATTGACTCACACTCTCACAGACCCAGGTCCTGGCTCTGCAACAAACCTCTGCCATGCACGGTCCCACAGGCCTTACACAGCAGCATCAGTTTCCTCCTGTTCTTCTTCTTCTTCCACATCTGCACACTCTCTCCATCCCTCTCCTCTTTTTTTAAAAACACCTTCACGTTTCCATCCAACAACTTCGCAGTGTTTGTCATTGGAAGGGATCAAGCTGATGGATGGATGGGTGGTTTCACTGCTGGAGGAGGCACATTGGCTTGATTTAAGGGCAGGGAATGAAAACAGGAGCAAACTGTGACCTCCAGTTGTTGATCATCACAGCCCCCTGCATCCATTCCCCCCCCCTAACAAAAATCAATGATGACAGAAGCAGCCATTCATGCTTTCCCCTGTAAAAATAATCAAACGTCTCATTCTTTATTCTGGGATGAAATCTGGACTTTTTGGTGGGTTCACCCTCCACTGCGTTCACCCCCGGCTCATGTAAAGCGGAGCTGAGGCACATCAGAATCGGGTCAGGCTGATGAAAAATGACAAGCTGTTCAAATGATTCCCCTTGTCCTGTTATATCAACGTGATACTTGAATCCCCCCCCCCCAGTCCCTCCAGGGGGGTCAGAGGTCAGGGTCCATTACAGAACAGCACCCCCGGAACTGAAGACACTTGAGCTGCTGGGTGGGGATTTAAAAGTACATGTGTGCAACTGCTGTGCCATCGTGTCGGACGTTAAAAAAAGAAAAACTGGTGTGGAAGCAATTTAGCTCACTGCCATTTCAAATACAGCTGCCTCATTCATTTTATTATAATTATAACCACGTCTCATTATTGTTGGGCTAACAGGATTGTTGCCTGACAGCCAAACATTGATCCACTTACTGTGTCGTCACATGCTGACCTCTGAGGGTAGAAATCCGCACTGTGCCAGTGTGTCCCGAACCCATCGGACCTCATTTAACACTTTACATTTACAGTTGGGAGCAGCAGCCACTCTGTGAAAACATCTCTGCAGTCAACACTCTGTTTGTTTCGAATAATTATGGATGAAAAATCCACACTGATTATCACCGGGAAATTTGCTGTGCGGACGAGCGTGCAACACGAAAAACAAGAACACAAACAGTCACAGCAAACTAGTCTGCCTCAGATTAACTCCTCACATACATGTGAACATGTACCGACCTTGTCAGGAGCAGTAAACCTCATGGGAACCAAAGCTCAGTCCCAAAGAGGCATGATGTCCTTTTTGAGCTTTGAGTGTAACAGTTGAATTACGGTTGGGTTAAGGTTTGGCTTTGGTATGAAATGGTAATGAAGGTTAGGTTAGGGTTAAGTTAGGCTGTGCACAATGAATGGAAGTCAATGCAAAGTCCTAATAAGGATAGCTGCACAGGCTTTGTGTGTATGTGTGTGTACTTGTATCTTTGTGAGGACCAGTTTGACTGTTTGACCTTGTGGAGTGAGGACATTTTGACTGATTATTGCGTCTTTGGGCTGAAAAAATTTAATAATTTACCGATTTGACAAAAAAAAAAAAAAAGTAGCCACACACATAAATTAAGTCTTAACTGCCCTAATAAAATGTTTTAATTTTAGTGTGAGGAAGCTTAATTAAACTGACTTGTAGTTCTCTTTTACCTCTGCCAAGAAGCTTATGTTTTCATTGTTGTTTGCCCATTCAATTTTTGAGTGGCCTGACAAAATGCAGATCCAGGAATTTGCATCCCTTTCTTTAACAGACAGGGCCTTCACGTTTACATCTTTACAAATTTCCCAGAGAATAATTCATGGATCTTGATGAAAAAATTAAGCTCATTAAGACGGCTGATATCTCTGAGTGTGAAATTTGGTGCAGCTTTATTAAATTCAAGGAGACTGTTAGCTCAACGTGTGGCTTCAGTATTAGAATTAAGTTTGTCTTTGCACGCAGGCAGATGGGCTCGAACACCACTGCTGCTAATTGGTGAGGCCACATACATGTTGTCGTAGAACCAAAACTTCTTCCACACGCTGTTTCTCAGATGCTTTAATGTCTGAACAGTTTGAATATAAACTTTTACCCCATGTTGGGATGAATTTTGGAATCAGCTAAACTGGTGACTTACCGAGGCCAAATACATCCGCTCCATCCACACCAGACGCTTGTTTTAGTCAAACCCATATGGCATCATTTTGTTTCCAGTAAATCTTCTTGTCATCAGCAGTGAAAATAAATTAAATAAATCTGAAATGTGCAGAGGGCATCCCTCCTGAGTGGGAGCCAACATGTACAAACTGTTCACGCCTTTCTTTAACACTTCCCGTGAGCATTTAGCAAGTGTGAGTCAGTGGGACATTTAACCATCACACTCAAAATTATATTTATTAGAGCCGTGGACGTGGGTTTGTGTTTCATGAAAGAGTAAAATATTCTGAAGTCTACCTTTTTAAAGAGGTCAGGCGTGAAAAGAACACACTGGCATTTTACTTTGAATGACATTTACAGTCTCATCCCAAGAACTGTAGCCTCCAGTTAGATTTTGAAATGTGAAGCAAACTGCTTCCAACTTCAAACCCCTCTGACATTTCCACCACCAAGAACAGCTCGGTCCAGATGTACGAACAAGAAAAGAAAAAAAAGAAACCAAGAGCACGGTCGTGTATGAAACTCTTGATACTGGAGTTATTCACCTTCCTGCATTAAGATGAGACCAAGGTGATTTGCATGTTAAACATACTTTACCCTTCACAAGGCCTAGTGGTGCTGAGAAAGCTATGAGATGCTTTATTGTAACATTAATACTGAACTGACAGCAGCAGAATATTGGAAAAGTGATTTACCAGAACAATAGTGGACTTTCATTACATTCCATATATTGTCCAGTCACTTGTATCTGGAAGTCACTCTGTGACCATAGCAACTTAAAACAAAGTGCATCCTTTACCAAGTTATATTTTTAACCTTCTGAAAGTGGACCTGCTGCTGTGGACTCTAACTTGGCCCCAGAGAAAAACAATCATAGTTTGAGGATTTATCCCTGAAGTTTCATTACGTTCAACCAAAAACATGGTTTAGTGTTGTGGCACCAGAGAAAAATGTGCATATTTCAAAAACAAATAAATACACCTGGTTCAAATAACTGGTCAAATGTTAAGAAATGTTTTTATATATAATATTTTGTAGTTTAGGTCTAAAACCCTGCCTCCTCCATGTTGGCAGATGGGACCTAACCTAACTAAAAAGCCAAAGGACATGTTTTTGTTGTTTGTTCAAGTGCTCATCTTAAGTGTGGTTTTAATCAGTTATTTGATGCTTTACAAACGCCATAATCAACAGTTGAGAATGACTCGTGTCTTTCACGGCTCCATCCCGTGATTGCAAACTCAAATATGACGTCACTGGTGCAAGATGGCAGCATTCGTTTTGGCTTCGTTTCTGGATAGTGGAGAGGCGTTTGTTGTTACTTACAGTCAATGTTTTTACCAAATTATAATCTTTCCATATTATTATCTGCCCAAATTTGACCATTACAAGAAATATTAAGGCCTACATTAATAATTCTTGTAAATATTCTCCTCTCATCTTATATTCTGAAATATCTGTGACCAAACTGATATATTTTATATCTGGATCTCAGCGTTTGCTCACACGTGTCCTTATACCTACTTTCATTTCAAGTGATGATACAGTGAAGATTATATGATCCATATGAGCGAACACTCACTGTAATTTCCAGTCTCTGTTTCACAGGTAGTGACAGAGAGCGTCTGTGGTTCAGTTGTTCTCTCCAGTCGGGACCTCAGGGAGGCTCCAGCTGCTCGGCAGCAGAGGGGGAGCAGTTACATTTGTCTGTGATGTGAAGTTTGAAATCCTCCCCCTGCGGATGATGTATAAGAATCACACTTGTGATGAGTTTCATTCTCATGATGACGATATTCAAACATACAGGGATGATTAATAACTCGACAATGAAATGAATGAAGCAGGTAACGAGAGTGTCAGTTTTGCGTTTGTGTGTCCCAAAGACCTGACATGGAGCATTCTCACAAAAAGGGACAGTGTTGTTTTAGTGATTTCATAGTTACACTTGGGATGCCGTCACACACACTACACCTATCACGAGCCAGTCTCAGTCAGAAGCAACTTTTAAGAAAAATGTATTTGATTTTTTACTTTTTAGTTTGTTCCATCCAGTAACATGGAGGAGTCAGTCGAGATGCTTTGATTTCACTGTCATGTCGTCAATCTTTACATACAGTCTATGGTAGAACTATGCATTTTAAAGGAAAGTGATACTAATAACAATAATACCTTTACTTATATAATTATTGCATAAAATAAATGAACGCATCACATTCAGAGTGAACAATCAGTGAATCTGTTTAACCCTGGAGTGTGTGTGTTGTCCCATAACCTCTCAATCTCACATTTCCAGAATGCTTCTGTGGTTTTCGGGATCTGTGCTTGTTAAACCTGTGGACGAGAGAGAGAAAGAGAGAGAGGTGGTCTCTTCCTCCTCCCCACTCCTTCAGGCTTCTTATCAGACCTGTGTTTCTCCTCTGCTCAGGTGGTCTGTTCATCAGAAACACTGATCAGGAGTACACCGCCTTTCGTCTGGCGATCTTCCTGCACAACACCAGCCCGAACGCCTCGGAAGCCCCGTTCAACCTGGTGCCTCACGTGGACAACATCGAGACGGCCAACAGCTTCGCCGTCACCAACGCCTGTAAGTCCATCACGTGTTGTCTTCATGTTTGTAATGGTTTGGTTTCATGTGTCCTGGTTGATGCAGTTTAGAGAATTCCTGGGACTGGTAAAATTTGTCATTTAATTAACTCCACTTCAACCTTACTGTGCTTGGGTGGACGGCTCTGTGTGCCTGAATGAAACCATCCACCACTCTCACCAAGGTACACTACTTAAGTAACGTGAGGAAAATGAAAAGCTCGGCCTGATTTCGTTGCTCCTCTCATAACGAGGCAACACAGTTTGTCTTAAAGGCACATTCAGCAAGTGCAACAGCCACAAGTTACACCCTGCAACTTACTTTAAAACCAGAAGTGGTCGTTTTTTTATGAAGGTGCGCTGTGTTTCCCACAACATTAATCAGTCTGTGGTGGAGACGGGTGCTGCAGAGACTGAAGAGTAAAAGTTCAGTTCTCTAATGAGAGAAAAAACGACAAGTTTCCCTTTGCTTTCTGCCTTTATGCTAAGCTAGGTTAACCACATCCTGACTTCATTTTTGGACACACAGGTATGGGATTAATCTCAGTCCTTTAACGTCAAACCCGTCAAACCCATACAACCATCTAAGTGTATACTGTAATTATTACAATAGAGTCAGGTGGGTTGTGCATTAACACCTAGTCAAATTATTGTCGTACTTCCTGCTTCGACTTTAACTTCTTGTCTTCACCTCAGCTGTAAATACAGTTTTTCTGCAGTGAAGGATTATAATGAACATTTGTCTGATGATCAGACTCCTCGTGTATCTTCCCATGTTGGAGTTAGACGTTGCTTTGCTCTCAGGTCGTAGTGATTATGATGTTAAGGTACAGTGTTATCAACACGAGTGGTAACGGGAATGATTCATTTATCAGTTGCATGTTAATGTCTCGTTCAGTGTGTGTGTGAACCATGAACATATTCTACATGCATATAAGTGTTTTTCTGTGTGTGTGTGTGTGTGTGTGTGTGTGTGTGTG